ACTGGAGCCCCTCAGTCTCTAGGAGACACTGGCCTCAGCTAGCATAAACCACCATGCTAGCAGGACAGCCGGGCTTTGCAAAACTCCAAGGCCTGACGACTGTTTCCAGCTTGCAGATTAGGCAGAGTGAGGTCCCAAGAGGTGAGGAGATTTGCTCGAGAGTCTGATTCCAGCCATTGTCTGTGAAGTCACCAGGCGCCGACCTTCTAAGGTCTAGCTTGTCACATCAGGAAGACTTTCTGCCTGTGGGTTTTGAGGGCCTGAGATCTGCTCAGCTGCTCCTATTGCCAACCATCATCTTAGACGCCTCACTTCAGAGCACCAAGGAATCTTAGCCCGCTTTCAAACCACACCCAGAATCTGTGTGTCCCCTTCACTGCTCCTGCGGCTGACCCCATCTCCCCGACCCTTCTGGTTCTAGCAGCCACCTTACTTGAGCCCCTCTACAGCAGCTGGAAGGTCTCATTCAAACCAGCCTGGGAGATGGCTCAGCAGGGAAAGGCATTTGTCACTGAGTCTGAAGGCCCGAGTTTGATGATCAGAACCTATACAGTGGAAAGAGAGAACCAACGCCTGCAAGCTCACCCCTGACCTACACACACACACACACAGGGGCACACATGTAAAAGCAAATAAATAAATTAAATAAAGAAAAAAATACATACATACATACCACAATCAGAAATCAGAACTTGTACCTTTTCTGCTCAACCTTCCCATGGTTCTGAGCGCCCTCATTTCACATTTACACTAGCCTGCCAGGCCCTTCCTCTCTACCCACCACCTCTCAGCTTGCCACTCACCACTTTCCCCTAATCACTTTGTTTTGGTTACTCTGGCTTCCTTGCAAACCTGGAAATAGTGCAAACTCCCACGACAGGACCTTTGCATGTGTTCTCTCTTCCAGGAATGCTCTTTCCCACATGGCCATTGTGCTCTCTCTTACCCTCTTGAGAAGACCCTTCCTGGATAGCCTGTTTAGATTCTGGCTCCTCACCCACATATACACACATACTTTAACCCCTTCTATGATCCCTGGCCTCCTTTTACCTCTTTCCTGATTCATTCTCATGGAGATGACCTCTGCCCCTCTTTTCTTGACTTTGTATGATGCTCATGGTCCTGTCTCTGTCTACCAGAATGAAGATGTGTAACAAAGAGGGCACAAAACTGGTGTTTTTCTGGATGTGAGTAACAGCTGAATGAAGGACCAGAGTTGGAGGGTTTAGACTGGGCATGGAGGCTGCAGAAGTTGAATTTGCCTTAGAAATGAATAAGAGAACAGGACTGCAGGGCAATGGGTGGCAGAAGCCCAAACCTCAGTTTCTCCATCTATTCATCAGGCTAGTGACTCTATGCCCCCAGTGGGTACTGGCATGAGGTGTGGACTTTATTAATAGATGAGACAGGAGGGGCCATCAGGACGGGACTAGCCATTGCTGAGGCTTCTTCCTTCTCTCCTCCAATAGCTGTGAGAAACCACAATCTAGAAACAGCTATAACGCCCATAAATGTTGTCCCCATAAGAGGGATCTTGCCAGGGCCATGAAGGACAGGTCTTGCTTAGTTGCTGTTTCCTCAGCCTCTCAAGGCAGAGCTGAACTCCTGGGCTGATGAGTTTGGTGGAGGTGGGCGGCCACCCTCTTGGCTCTCTCTCTCTCTCTCTCTCTCTCTCTACTCCCATTCACCATCTCTTTCAACTACACGCCTGTCATTTTTCTTTTCCTCAGAACGTGCATTTGTAACCAATTTCTCAGTGGCCAAGAGAAGATTTTTAAAAATAGCACCACTGGTTTTGTGTTTTGGAATAAAGAGGCAATAGATGCGTTTTGTTTAGGAAAAAAAAAAAAATTAGATGGTACAGAAAAGAGAAATTGGCCTAAACCTTCTTCCCAGAAACTTTCATCATCCTTCTTTGGTATCATGCCCAAACCTCCACCCCAGTCCCATCCTCTGTGGCTGTCCTGCTGACTTCCTTGTCCAGATGGAATGGGGCCCGACTTCAGGGCAGGTGTAGCAGGGCCAGCCAGCAGCTGTAAAGCCAGGGTAGTATGCCTCAGGCCACCCTGGGCTCTTCAACCTAGTCATCACGGCACAGTCATTGCCCCACAACCTCCTCAATAATCTTCTCAACAATCACCTTTCCTGTTCGTCCGGAGCTTTATAAAACAAACACCATACAGCTAAGGCCTGCATCAGCTTCGTTCAGAGGGGCAATGCATCTTTGTCCAGGGCATAGCGAATGAGGAAGTTGCGTCTGTGACGGCCACTAGGTCCTTTTGAAGACATCTGAATAGAAAGACTTGAGGTGGGTCAGATGCCTGCACTCAGCCCTTTTGCAAAATGGAGGAAACTGAACCAGACAAGTGGAGGTCACTTGCCCAAGGTCACACAGTAAGTAGAGAAAGTGTCCACTATCAGGGTGGGGGTGGAGCAGGGGAAGGATGAATTATACCCTACTCCCACCAAGGGCAGCCTTTCTGAACCTTCAGCTGGGAACCTAAATAAGACCTTGGGACAACCTCACCCCCCTTCCCCCATTCCCTGCCCAGTCTCCCTCCTGGGCAGGTCCCAGTCCCAGGTTCTACCTCCATGGCCTGAAGTTAGCAAAAGTGGCTCCCCCTTGCCTCTTTGCTGCCACCTCCTGGTCTAAGCCCCAGATAGGAAATGGGAGGGCAATAAAGGAAGGGGCCTCCCCATTTCTCCTCTTTCTTAAGACCACATCTTGAAATGTTCTCCTTGAGGGTCCCATGTCCTCCTGTAGGCCTGTGGGTGGCTACAATGCTCCCTACTAATGCCCTGAACCCTGATTTCTTAAACTCTGGCTAGCAGCCACTCCTATTCCCAGATTCCCCTGCCCCCCCTCCACAGACTCTTGTCCTTTGTCCCTCCTAACTCCCAATGCTCCCTCCCTCCCTGATGGCTCAACTATTCAACCACCCACCAGGAAACTCTGATGTCTCTTTTCAGGTCTTTGGTGGGAGGGGAGGTTTTATGTCCCAGTGGCATCTCCCACCTTCAGTGCCTCTTGGAAGCTTCCAGTGTCTCCCACCTTCCCACTGAGTTCTAGTGACCTTCCATTATGTTTCCAGGTGGGGTTCAAGGCCTTCCCTAAACAGCCTCCACCAGCTGCAATCTCAGCATGTTTTTGGGTGACCTGGTGATGTGGATGACTGTGGCAGCCTCCTAGAGCTCCCAAAGGTCAATTTCATGAGTGACCTGGGCTAGAGAGGTGCCCAAGTTGCTGGTGAAACACTGCTTTCTTGTGGGTGTCTTTGAGGGTGGCTTAGGAAAAGGCTAGTGGGTGAATTAGCAGAATAAAGCAGACAGCCCTCACCCTGGTCTCCAGCTTCTCTGGGCTCCAGCTCACAGAGGGCAGATGCTCTGTGGAACCCCAGTGTCCCCTACAGAGCAGCTGAAAAATGCTGCACTCTCTGAGTTAGGCTCAGGAACCACCCCTCTCCCTGCTGAGTAGCTGAACTGATGGCCACACTTGACCCTGGGGCCTGTGAGAAGATCTATGTGGGACCCCTGGGGAAGCAAGGGCTGGCTACATGTCCTTTCTGGGTCTCGCTGCTACACCATTACTGATTACTGAGGGAAGCGTGCAGGCTCACTCAGTGCACATCACAGTCCCGCTGGAGAGGCCTGAGACTAATAACAGGAATATTTGAGAAAAGGGCTTGCTCTTATATCCTACTCCAAGGTTCTAGAAGGGAAACTGGCAGGTGGTCAGAGACAGCCTACTGGGTACATTGGAGGATCTGATAGCTCTAGGCTTTGGCAGATCGCTTACTCTCCGTTGCTTGGTCCCCTCCACCACCCATGGGAAACTTCTTGGAACTCACCTGGTCTTAGACTCTGCTTATTGGCAGTGTCTAACAGAGCTAGGCTGCAGAGTCACACTTGGCCAGCAGGGGCGCTAGTACACGCAGCTGTCTGCGGGTGGACGGGGCAAATTAATTCTTAAATCCTGTAGGTTCAAAGGTGTGCAGCTCAAGTTTCCTGGGAAGGAAGGAGACATACGATTTTATGGCCTCTTACTTCCTTGCTGCTGACACCTGATTAAGCGAGAACTCAGGCTTCACTTAATCAGGCGTAGGGGGAATCCTTAGTTCAGCAGCTCATCTGACTCAGCAAGGAGAGGGGCAGGGGGCAGATTCTGTGACTATGGGAGGCAAATCGCTAGACGTCTCTGTGCTTTGGTTTCCCCTGTCTGTAAAATGGGTAGGTGGTTGTGAGAATGAGAGAGAGAGAGAGAGAGAGAGAGAGAGAGAGATCTGCTGAACACTCAGCTCACATGAAGTGTCTGTGCCTCAAAGGAGGGGGGGGGCCGAAACACCACCACTCCCCATGTTGTCTGGTCTGTAATGCAGAGTGGAGATCTCAGCCTTTCACTACAGAACCAAGATGGCTACGATGGCGGCGTACCCCGCAGATACCCAAAGGCGGGAGGAAAAGCCAATAAAGACTGTCTGCTGCAAACAGCCACATGGGAGTTTATCCACATCTTTTAATTTTTAAAAACGAGAAGACAGACAATCTTGTGCTCTTTGGGTTGCCAATAAAAAGTTTGTTATGCAAAACAGTCCAACCCTTTTCATTTTTAATAATACTGTAAATATCTCAGAAAGGATATATATTGCATCGTCTTCATTTCTAATGAATATCAAAAAAGTTGTCGTGATGACATGTCCCCCAGCCCGCCTCTCCCTACAGTTACCCAAATACTAGTATCAAATTATAAAAAAAAAAACCAACAACAAAACCAACCCCCAAACCACAAGCCTCCCTCTACCCTGCCCCATGAGTAGTGTTAAGCGTGTCAAGTGTTAAGGGCCATATGTACAACACGTGTGTCTATGACAACAGACATCAGGGATCTGTCTGTCCGTCCTCGAGGGAGTGGGTGGTGAGGAGCAATAGCAGCAATGGGCAGCCTCCCTTCTCAGGGTTGTTGGTGGGGACAGCAATCGAGGACCAACCCCACAGATCATCTACAGGATGATGCTGACCTTCCCAGAAGGAATTCATGGCCTGTGTGTGAGCATCTGGGTAGCGGTGTGTCCTGGACAAGTGCCCAATTGGATGGGGGGGGGGTGCCGGGCATTTGGCTCAGCCAGCTCAGGCTTTAGGTGGAAAGGAGGGAGCTGGGCCGAACAGCTGAGAATCTGGAAGCTTTGGGTAAACAGAGAATTCAGGCCTCTGACAGGACACTGGGGCCTTAGCATGAAGAAATCTCATCTTTCCACAGATGAATCTAGGAGACTACAGCAAGAGGGAAAGGATGCCCCTTCCCGCCCCATTTTCCATCCCCCCAGTAGCTGGGCAGACAAAGCAGTTGAGAAACCCAGCAGATGAGGAAGAGAGATTAGTTCCAGAGCTCCGAGCCAGGCAGGAGGACACAGCACCAGCCTCTCCCGCCACCGCCCCACCGACCACATCTGTTCTCCATTTCCAAGGAAGAACCTGAGGGATGGATGCCCTGTTCTTCCCTCTGGCAAGTGGAAGTGAGGGCTCCTCAGACCCAGGTGACAGGCAGGTGGAATGGCTCCAGAATAAGATGTCTGCTCGCAGGATCTTTCGGAACAGGAAGGAAGGTAGAGAAAAAGGGCAGGTGTTGAGAGGGAGAGAAGGGGTGAACAAGGAAGGGGCTGTGGGTGGGATCCAGCCCCAGGCCTCACTGTAGCTCTCCTGCAGGGGTGGCCATAGATCCTAAGCCACAGATCCTGGCCAGGCAGCTGTAAGAAGAGATGGTTGCCTTCTGCCTATCCCTACCTAGGAAGGAGGGACAGAGCTGGTGGCCAAGAAGGCTGGATAGATGGTGGGAGCCCCTGCCACGGAGACTGGGGATGGGCTGGTCTCCACAGATCTAAGCTAAAACTCCAGTTGTTAGGAAGACACGCCTCCCCACATCGTTTGTGATGGGTCTGACTGAAGATAAGCTGGGGGGGGGGCAGTGAAGTCAGAAAAGGGACAGAGAAGACCCTTGCAAGTCTCCGCAGGTCAAAGTGGCCTGCAAGGCAGTGAGGCAGGCAGTCTTCTCTGCTTCAAAGGGAACATCCCACTCTATCTCTTCCCTCATCCTGGGAGATGGAGAAACTGAGGCTCGGGAAGAGAAAAAAGGGGGTGGCCAAAGTCACTGGGTGGGACAGTCATCTACTCCTGATTACTCAGGAGTCCTGAGGATAGAGGGATGTTTTCTTCTCTGTCTTGCAACCTTGACATGTGGAAGGTCCTGTTGATGGAAGAGGGGAAGACCAAGAGAAAACTAAATAAAATAAAACAAACTGTTCCTAGGGTACAGAGGAGGGCAGCCAGGGAAGTTCAGAGACAAAAATCAGGAAAGTCTAAAAACCAGAGGTGGATGGGCACGGCTCTCTCACTTCACCTGCCCACAGCATAAAAGTTGACAGCATAATACAAGGACTCTAGAGAACACGGGTTGAGTCACCCTGGGCCAGGATCTGCTAAGTCACTGTACAGAATCATCATGGTGAGGTGGATACGCCCATGATCACAGGGGTGAGGCGAAGGTACAGGGCACACAGTGGCCGGCTGGGAGTTAACGTGTTAATAAGTCCTGTGCAGACGAGCAAGCCCCTAACATTAGGTGAAGTACGAGGTTCGGGATTCATTTACAGGCAGGGAAGGAAGGTGGGAGTCGCATCCAAGTGGCCGGGCGGGACTCAGAAGTGCGTCTCCTTCTCTGTGATGGCAGAGATGGTGCCGTCGCCCTTGACCTTGGACTCACAGTCATTAACGGTCACCGTCCGTGGGCCGGCCCCAAGCTTGCCCCGCATTTTCAGATCAGCACTGGGGACTGTCAACTTCTGTAATTTCTAGATGGTTGGAGAGGAGGAGAAGGATGTGTGAGCAAGCCTGCTGGGGTCCCGGAGTCTGTCCGCTTCTACCTCCCCAGCTGTACAGGGGTTCCTTGGAACCATCAGACTGGCGCCAGGCCCTGGCTCTGCCTTACTTCTGGGTTCTGGTTGAGGTATTACCTCTGTAAGTTCCTACCACCAGAAACAGGGGTGGCTGAGGTCCCCACACCTGGCCGTGGGTGAGAAGTAAGGAGATGGAGCCTCCTGCAGCACGGATGTGGGAGGTGACCAGTCCGAATCAGGACCTGCCACCCCGTTCCTTCCTTGGCATAGGGGGAGCTGGGCTTTGAAGTGGCCCAATGGATGTGCCAGCCAGTCTCCTGACCTCTGGCTGCATCCCTCTATCTGTGGGCCAGGATGACAGGCAGCGACCAGAGGGAAAGAGACTTCCGAGGCTACTGGTATGAATTTTGGTTAATCAGAGTCCTGCCCTGCCCTTGGTTAGTCACCACACCACTGCAGTATAGGACGAAGGTTGCTACTGAGCTCCTCAAGCTAAGCTTAGAGGCAGACGCCATCCCCGATTCGGCCTCCTCAACCTCTCAGAAGGCATCTCGCACATAGCTCTCACCTCGGCACCATCTGCACTGCTCTGGGACCAGGATTCAGAAGGCCCTCCTGAGCATGGGCCCTTTCCTGAAAAAAAATGGCTGCAAAGACTTTGGGGTGGCTTAGTGGTCAAGGGCAAGGTTGGCTCTTGTCTTTTGGGTGGAAGCCACACTGTCGACATTCTTAGGATTACTACTCAGACTCATGGGAGCTGACTAACTATGCCTCCTGCAAGAGCCAGGCCCTGCACCAGGCTCTTAGACCAAGGTCTAGAGAAGTGGCTCTGGAGGCAGGAGCCTGGGTTCACATCCCTGCCTCACCACCTACACAGGTAAGATGTAAACTCCATGCTTCAGTTTCCTCAGTTGCTTCCTGGAATTATTGTGAGGCTCAGACCAACAGACCAGCAACAGTTCAAACATGGTTCCTCCTCTGCTCTGTTCTTCTGGGAAGGTCCCTGCACCCTCACTTCCCTCTAGATCCTTCCTGTCTCTGACAGAGGCTGTGTGGGCCTCTGGCTCAGGAGTGAATGGACAGGTACTGGCTTGAGGCTGGCCTAGATCAGAGAGCTCACTCTATAACAATCTCTGCTGTCCAGGTGGGTAGGGTATGAGTTAGGGTGACAGGAAGAATCCAGAAAAGGGCTTGTAAGTACCAGGAGCAGGATGTTCTGAGGCTGAGGTTTTAAAGTCCCAGGTCAGTTCCCCTCTGGATAGTTTGGTCTCCATCTGAATTAACCAACTGCCCTTGACCCTTCTGTAAATAACAAAAGGGACATTCCCCACCCATCCACCTCTGCTGGAGCTCAGGTACCCATGGGCAGGGAACTGGAGGAAGCATTTTAGATGGCACCTATCTTTCCCTGTGGCCTGACAGGGCCAAGTCATAGCTGACATTTGGCTACACCTCAGTTCAGATCCCGATTCCAAATGCTTTCCCTGTAGGAATCCCCAGACCTCTCATACCTTTTATCAATTAAGAGGCAATGCCAATCTGTTCGGTGGGTGGGGAGGCTGAGGCAGGAGTCACAGAATCTGGCTCAACCCAGAAATCTCATAGAGGTGCTGCTGGCATGGCTGATGGAAGGTCCTGCCAGAGAGGAGCCTTCCATCCAGACCCAGCCTCCCTAACTGCTCACCTCAGGCAGTGTGCCCTCTGTCTTCCACAGCTTGATGAAGATCCAGAGCGGGATGCAGAGCATGGAGGACAGAGCCATGAGCCAGCCGATGCTGTAGCCCCAAGCCGGGTAAGTGTACACGTTGTTGTACTTGAGGGGCTTGTACTTGACTAGAAAGAAGATGAAGATGCCCTGCGGAGAGGCAGATGGAGGCTCTTGGTATTGCTTCTCAGCCCTGCCCTACTCCGAGGGCCCTGGCACCTCAACTATCCACAGTGAGCCTGATGCAGGACCATGGGAAGAAGCCAATCCAACTGAGAGGCCCTAGGGCCTCTCCAGGGATTCATTTCCCTAGTGTCTGCCTAATCAGCTTGTCTGAGGGCTATCTCAGATCTGCTGTTCTGATCCCTTCAATTGGGGAGAGAAGTTCAGATGCCTCCAGAGAAAAAGACAGGACAAAGAATAATGAGGCCATTTTTCTATGTTAGGTCTCCTCTTACCAAAGCTGGTCTGTGGCCTGGTTCCAGGAACAGAGCATAAGCCTCAACATCCTCACCTTTGTCCATCACCTTCTTGGTAACAAGTCTCCTCACTCACGTTTGCATACCTCTGGTCCCCAAGAAGGTGGACCAATATCAGGCCGGTGTACACTGAGCCCAAGACCCTGACATGGGAGAGACCCAAGGGTTTCGGGGTCACAACACAGAGGTAGGAATTTGAGTGAGGGCCTGCCTCAGCAAGCCCAGAGCCTGACCTGAGACATCAGTTCCAACAGTGGCAGGTGGCAGGGGCTTGGGGGACATGACCCTCCTCAGGGCCAGCCTCAGCTGAGCTGGCTATAGCAGCTAGGGAGCAAGTGGAAGGGCTGGGGATGGCTTTCCGCCAGCCTTACCGCACAGATCCCAGGGGTCACGACTTTCCAGCACCACTTGATGAGTGACAGTGGCCGGTAGCCAATCATGTCCTCTATATTGTCATAGAACCGGTTGCTTCCTATCCAGAAGAAAGCAGACAGACATGTGTGTCTCAGAGAAGAGTTAAGGTGGACCTGCCTTCCCCAGCATGGAACATAGGGTGCTTGGGCTTGAGTGTCATGTGCCTGCATGTAAAGCCAGTCCCTCGCGTGGCATTATGAGGTAGTCTTACTCTGCTCTGGGAACTAGGGCTCTACAGGGGTCCTTTGGTCAGTGGTTAGGGTGCCCCTCTCTGTTCCTGGCTAGAGATGTGATGGCTTTCTCCACTTCACACTCCCACTGTGACAGGCCTCCACCAGGACCAGAAGCAATGGCATCATTCAACCTTGGACTTGAACTCCAGAACGATGAGTTCTGCTAGCACTCTGCCTCTTAAGTAGCCCTTCTTAAAGGCATTTCATTGCAGTGATGCAAAACCAATGAACACAACGGGCAAGGTGAGGACAGGGAATTGGACTCTGGAGGTGAGGGCTGTCTGGGCTGCTTGCGAAGAGTGGTTATCGTTCCAAAGCTGCGTTCTGCCTGTCCTGGAGACAGCAGCTCTCATCCTCGTTTGTGTGAGGACAAGAAGGTGGAACGAATGAGAGGGTGGCTCGTGCTAGTAGCTCAGCCTGATGTCTCCCTCTGGAACACAAATATCACAAAGGGAAAGAGTGAGCCTCAGGGTAGGAATGGCCAGGGGTCAGGGTGCCTGGGTCCTGAACACCCTATGCTGGCATTAAAAATAGGAATGTCGGTGATAGGAAGGACAGACTTGAGTCCCCAGGGAAAGTGCCTAGACAGATATAGCTTATCAGGACCCAGGGGCCCGGACTCCACTTACCGTACACCCAGCCGATGCAGACACACTCGAAGATGGCCACAAAGAGCAAGCACATGCCGCTGGCAGCGTATGAGTCAAAAAGCTGGAAGATGTACATGCCTCCCTGTGGACAGAAGGACAGACACACAGACAGACACGTTGGAGAACAGGGTCAGTAGCTGACCTCCACGGGGTCTGCTCTCTGCTCCAGCAGCTGCCAGCCAGCGGTTTGCTCATCTCTAGTCTGAGCTCTACACCCTCTGCAGCTGGCTGCCCCAAAGCCCTGTCCCGGGTTATTGGGGTGGTCAGTGATTCCACTGAAATCAGAGTGCAGGGCGGATGACTTCAACACCTCTCCCTGGATGGCCAGCTCCAGCAGCCTCCAGCGAGGCCTCATTGCCACTGGTCTCACCCTCGCCCATCTTTTCAGAGGCTTAAAATTATCCTTGGCTCCCTCCAACCCGGCCCACCACCCATTCTCAGCAAAGCGGCCTTACTCTGCAGGGGGTTAAGTTCTTTTAAAGCTCAGTCCAAATGTCACTTCCTTTGAGAAGCCCTCCTTTCCTCAGCCTCACTCCTTTTTTGTTTTTGTTTTTGTTTTTTGTTTTTTTTTTTAAGACAGGGTTATTCTGTGTAGCCTTGGATGTCCTGGACTTTTGCTTTGTAGACCAGGCTGGCCTCGAACTCACAGAGATATGACTGGCTCTGTCTCCCTAAATGCTGGGATTACAAGTGCGCACCACCGTACCTGGCTCAGCCACACTTTCTTCAGGCCCCTAGACCACACTGTATGAACTCACAACGTAATCCTCAAAGTGCTCTGTCAACAGCTGAGAGCTGTGAGCTCTGCCCAGGAAGGCCCCACACCTCAATCCTTGTTGTACCTCCAGCTATCAGCACAGGCCCCCAGTGCACAGTAGGTCCCCTAAAAGATGCACAGTAGGTCCCCTAAAAGACTGGGCTGGGGCATGGGCTTTGATGTGTGGTACTAGCTCACTTGCTTGGAAAATGGACACACAGTAGGTGCACCGCTCATCATTGGGATGAATTGCTGCTGAGAGATCGCCTGCGGACCTACTTGGCCACACACAGTTGGCCTCTCCATGCCTGGTCTTACTGTCAGTCTGACCAGAATCAGGAGCAACCTGTGAGACCTGGCCTCTGGGCATGTCTGTGGGAACGCTTCCAGAAAGAACTGATCAAAGTGAGAAGACGTGGCCTCAGGGCGGGCAGCACCCAGCTAGAAAGAGATTTGAGGAGAGGCATGTCTTTATCTATCGCTCCGTGTCCTTCTTCCATTGCACTCCCCACCACCATCCACGGACCCCCAGCCTCTCCAGCTTTCTAACACAGACACAATGTTAGTGACTTCCCAGTGACCTTCCTGGGCCTCCAGTCCCAGTTAACAACCAACCGTGGTATCGAGTTTCTCTCAAGGGAGCAGCCCCGGCCATGTAAGACATCCCAGTGAACCTCCCTTTATACTCCGTTGCCCTGGAGAACCTTAACACACCCCTGGCCAGTTCCCCTTAAACAGTGCAGAGCAGCTCTTCACGCGGTGTTGATATGATGTTGGGCATTGTGAAGAATCCGGAGAGGACTGCCACACACAGCAGGATGTGCACTGGTCCTGGGGAAACAGGTAGGACCCAGGCACGCGCAGATCTGCTGCTCACGGTGGTTCTCACGTGAAGGAATTGCCTGTCTGAGCAAGTCTGAAGAAGCTCAGCAGAAGCCCTGCCACTCAAAGAGATCCAGGAAGGCCTCTCACGAGGACTGGGGTTGGGAGGAGGGTGGTCTCGGAGGGGAAGGGGAGAAAAGGCCAGATCTGGATTCGGGTAGAAATGGCATCTGTTAAGGAAAATATTCCTGATACATGAAGGGTCCTTGAGGAGCACAGATGCAGGAAAATCAACGTGAAAGCTCTTGGAAGGGTCAGGTGGGGCAAGTCGGAGCCAGAGAGAAGCTCAGGGCCTCCTGTGTTTGCTAACGGGGGACTCACTTGGAACAAGGGTCCCCTCGATCACATCCCTTGGGCTGTCTTCTATCATGCATAGTCCACAGTGTTTCAGTTGCATAAAGGATTGATTAGTCAATAAATTTGTTTTGGGATTAGGACAGAATTAGTTTCCGAAATGACCCTGGACATGCATCTGAAGTTGCCAAATATGTATTTATGAGGTATTCTCAGTGCTGATGATCATAAAACCAAAATATCCTATCGGTCAACTCTGAAAGCCGCTAAAGACATTCTGTGTCCTGCAGTATCAAACATCCAGCCAAGATCTGATTCTTCCTGTAAGCACAGCCACCTCCTTAGCAGGCACTTTTGTTTTTGTGTTGATGAATGACAAGATTATACGTACACCAAAGAATTGCTTTCAAAGAAATTTCTTCACAGCTTACTTCAATAAATGTTTGGTTTGCATGCTTATTTATTATCATTTATATGTATGTGAGTATTTTGCCTGCATCGATGTCTGTGCATCACATGTGTGAAATGCCTGTGGAGGCCAGAAGAGGGCATTGGGCCCTATGGGACTAAAGCTTCAGATGGTTGTGAGCTGCCACATGGGTCCTGAGGATCAAACTCGGGCCTTCTGCAAGCGCGGCCAGTGCTCTTACCCACTGGGCCAGCTCTCCAGACTCTGTCTATCCATTTTAGATTCCTGTATCCCCAGGGCCACGTACAAATCTCTTGGGTGAGAAAAAGCTCTGTGCGGCAAAGCTTAAGAATCCCTGCTCTGATGTCCACATGCCATCACCTGGTGACAGAGTCCTCACAACACAGCCCCGGGAAGGGATCCACAGCTAGACTGACTTTCACTTTTCCATGCCTTAACGTACTCTGTAGCTGCCTCCTCCTCCTCCAACAATGAAACGACAGGCATGGCTATTGCTATCCAGTGTCTCTGCAGGGAAACGGAGGCACCAAGGGGGAAGGTCACCTGCAGCACACTGTCACAGAGCTGAGTGGAGGGCTGAGAACTGAGCAGCAGGGCTCTGGGCCTGCTGCTGTGGTGGAAGGTACGAGACGGGTAGCTTTCCTCCGACCTGAGCTTTAACTGCGTGCAAGTGAGAGAGAGGCTCTGGCAGGCAACCACCAGGATGACTGAGGCTCACATGGCTGGCTGCGTCCGCTGTGAACTCCCACAGCACAGTGGCTTGAAGATGCCCCTCTGTGGGGAGTAGGGCTGGCATGCGAAGCTCAAAATGACTGCTGATTAATAGTCTTGGTTGGCTGGAGCGCCGGCTCCCTGACGGCCCCTGGGAGTCACCATGTGCCTTTGGGGAGAGGCTCTGAGCGCTGGGGGCAACCCAGGGCAGGCTGTGCTGAGAGTCAGCAATGCCCAAGCCAGCCTTCCCATTAGCTTCTTTAAGGCATCAGGTTAGCGCCCCCCCCCCCCCACCAGTTTGTATTTGACAAATGATTCCATTCTGTGTAATTAACCAGTGCTTAATGAGGCCCTATGCACTGTAGCCTGGCCTCCCTGCATGGAGAAACCCGAGGTAGAACCATTGCACGGAGAGCAGGAACTAGACTCTCACGGCGTTCATCTGCTCAAACAGTGACTGTCATTGTCATTAATGTAACAGTGAGAACAGGGCAAAGGCTGATCAGAGATCTCTGAAACGGAGAGAGGGACAGGGAGTGAGCTGGGAACACAGTGATGAACATGTGTGTGCGTGCATGCGTGTTCGTGTGTGTGCGGGTATGTGTGTGACAGGAAGCCTGATGGGGAGGGAAGCAGGGGAACTTTCCTGAGGCTGTAGCCTGACTGGGAGGGGGATGTGAAAGAGGACCCCTGGGAACGGCTGGCCTCTGTTTCACCCCAGCTGCTTGATGGATTCCAGTTCCCCACTCCTCCCTGTTTCTCACACAACCTCTTTGTGTCTCTTGGCAGCAGATCTCCTCCTCCCCGTCCCCTTGCATTAATTATCTTTGTGCATTATGAGGAGAAAGACACCTAATTTCACCTTCCAATACCTGACACAGAACAGGAACAGAAGAGCTGCAGGGTCAGGTGAGCACATGGTTTAGCTAGAAGAGCGCCTCAACTCAGGGTCAGGGAGAAGCCCACCTCACCTGCTTGGACAGGCAGGAGGAACACAAGGAGGGCTGAAGCTGTTTCACATAGCAAAAGCCTGTTCTGAGAGGAGTTCCAGAAAAGGCAGTATTGAACCTGAGGCAACGGCAAGGCGCCAGTTCTAGGCCTGAGAGCTGACTGGCTCTCTTCACTGGATGGTCACCCAAGGGATGACCAGGGCTGCCCTAACACGTCCCCATGTGAGTTATCTTATCTAGTGACAGCCACCTTTAGTGCCAACACAGGAGTGACCTTGTACTCAGAGCTCAATGAGGGTCTCATAGTGAACCAAAAGGAAGGGCAGGTACCCAAGTATCGGAGAAGGCACTGGATCTGCCCACAGCCAAAGGGTCTGAGGTCTCGGAGCTGGAGTTTGATGGAGTACAGCTGACACCACTTACCTCTGTCAGCATCACCAGGCCTAGGAAATAGGAGATGATGGACAAGGCCAGGATGAGCAGTTCTCGCCGGTAGCCTCGCCGGAAGACCTTGGGGTACATGTCTACCACAGCAGTCACAAGGCTCTCCACACACACGAACTGAAGAGAGAGAGAGAACGCATGAAGCCCAGGCAAAGCCCAGTTCTGGTACCCTAGGTCCCTATACGAGGGGCTTCCTTCTCGTTGGTCTGCTCTCCACCTTCACACTCCATCCCACAGTGATGAAAGCAAGCCTAGCACCAACTAGGCTTGGTGCTAGACACAAGCCTAGTATGTCCGTCGAGTGGACCAGGTCAAAGATGCTGAGAGAACGAGAGCCACTGCCCAGGGTCCCTTTGCATGCAGTCTCATCTGTGATGGCTCTGTGAGTTACAGGAGACCGACTTAGCCTCTGCCCTCAAGGCAAAGCAGGAAATCACTGAACTGTCCTAGGAGTTTGGTGATCTGCTGGCAGCAGGCTCTGGCTGTTGTCTGACTTCTAGGACTGTGACAGCCCCCTGCCCTATGCTAGGTGGAAAGGCACACTCAGCTCTGTCACCCAGGTGCTTGGTAGCAGAGCGTGGCTGTGAAGCAGCCTGCTTCTGAGGTTCTCTCCCACCACTTCAGGTGGCCACCATGTTGGGAGGCCCTGCACCCCTAATTGTCTGATTCATATCTATCTCCCAGACAAGGTATTTCCAGTATATAAAAAGGGTTGGGGCGCAGAGAAGGGTGGTAACTCTCAAAATCACGTGGCTGGGAGCTATTCAGAACTGATGATCAACCCTGGACCCTCTTCACTGCTTCTACAACAAGGACTGGTACAACAAGGGCAAGCTTTTCCCTAGGTCTTATGGGAGGCAGATGGAAATCAAAGAAGGCTGCTTGTGCAGGAAGCTAATTGGAGTGTGGGGTGTGGACAGCACAGGTAAGAGGCAGGCAGACCCTGGTATCTGTCCTAGCAAGTCACTCAGCACCTCGAAGACTTGGCTTCTGCTTTCAAACCCAGACAATGAGCAGGGGTCCTCAGCTCATGTGACTATCAGAGAACACAGCCTAGGCACATGACAGAAGAGCCAGTGAGCCCAGCTCAGTGCAGGTCGTAAGCAGAGTCCTTGCCTCCGTCCCACCTCCTCTGCCAGGCAGGACCCTCTGCCCTTCACACACCAGCTGCAGAGCCCTGATTTGCAAAAGGCTTTGCCAACAACAATGGAAGGGAAAAGATATCATCAGAAACACAGCGCCTCTGCAGCACAGCTTAGCGGTTTCTGGGGAAGGTTTCTGGCTCCAGAGAGAAACGGAATGGGACCAGATTGACAAATGCACAGGCCAGGGCTTGTGTGTTCAGTGACTCTTGCAAGGTCCTGGGTGAAGGCAGTGCTCATCAGGCTAACTTGGGCACTATTCTTCCCCCTAATGCAAGAGCATCAGGGCAGCTTCCCTTGTCAAACGGGGCTTCCTCTCTGCACCACACAGACTTGTCAGGATTACTGAGATCCACCAGCATGTCTGGAAGCAGTTTTCTGGGCTCTAGACACCCATCTGTGCTCATCAGCAGGAAGAGGCTGTATTCTAGACCTATGGGGCAGAGAGAGGCCACAGGCTTCAAGCTTGGAAGCTATGGGGAGCAAGAGAGTGGGCGTGGAGAGAAGCAGAAAGGGAAGGCTAGCTGGTGTAGAGGGATGAAGGGACAGGAGAATGCAGTTCACTCCTTGAGCTGATCATGTACCTGCTCTGAGGACAATGGTTGCAGAGTGAGGGATGGATAGATGGATGGATGGAAGTCCATAAGGACTAGTGGGCATAGAACTGTTGGGTGAATGGGGCTGAGGCACAAAGAGGGTGCCAGAAACAGGTCATGGAGACCTCGTCACAGGGCCAGAGAAGGAAACTGGCTTTCCTGTGTTCCATGTGCTCTGTGGCTTGGTAGGGATGGGGACACAGGGGCCCTAGGTTATATTATTATTATTATTATTATTATTATTATTATTACTATTAGCCACAGCCCACCTTCCTTAAGGACTTATTTCAGTTTTTCCAGGAGCCTCTGGTTAGGAATCATCTATCAGAATGGAAGGACTTAAAAGCTGAACTGGGGTCTAGAGAGATGGGGTGAAGGAATTTTCTGGCAAGTCTGAGGACCTGAGTTCTGTCCCTGGCACCCACATGGTAAAAGGAGAGAACTGATCTCCACAAGTTGTCCTCTGACCTCTGCACATGTCCCGTGACAGGTGTGTGACACACGCACAGAGAATGAACGAATGAATAATGAATGAATGAGTGAATACAATAAGTTGAATAAAAACAAAGCTGAAAGAAGAAGAGAAAAACACAAACACTTAAACTGGAAATTTCGGGTAAAGAAAACAAGAAGGTATGGAGGAACACCAAGTAGACATGTCTATGATTGCCAGGCTACCCAGAAAATGGCAGGGCTGCTTGGTGGCCTGATGTATAAGGTCAAGAGAGGATTCTGGGGCCTAGAAGCTGTTCCTAAGAGTAGCACCTGGCCTGTCTAGTCCCCTTTCTTCCCTTCACCTCTCTCACTCATTATCTGACCTGGCTTTTCCCCTTCTCTCCCCCACCATCCCCTTCTGTCTTCCCACCCCTCACCTGACTGTCCAGGCCCAGGAAAATGAGCATCATGAAGAACAAGGTGGCCCACAATGGGGAGAGAGGCATCATGGTGACAGCCTTGGGGTAGGCAATGAAAGCCAGTCCAGGACCTGCAGGGGAGGGAGAGAGTTCAGTGTTTCCATCTGGCAGGTATATAAGGTTGTAGGCCACTGGGCCAGGTCCACTCAGATCTCCTGTCCCTACTGTGCTGATGGTACCATATTAATATGGATCTCCCAGGGAGAGGGCCTGGAAGGATCAGAGGTCAAGCCAAGAGTGTCTGACTCACAGATCTTTCTCTGTATCTATCTGCCATCTGCTTTCACCTTGCAGGAAGGAGCCTGTTCAAACAGGCTCACCAGGACCAGACAGTAGCTGAGCCTAAGCAGGAGCAGAACAGTGTACCTAAAAGTGGTTCTTAGAATACCGAGACGCCACCAAGCAGTAAGTGCACAGTGGAAGGATTTATTATAGTACAGGCAATATACCATAAGAGCCCAGTATAAGCATGCATCCCATTCTGAAAGGATGTCCACACAACAACCACCATCAAGATACACAGGTTCCTGTTTCCTCTAGCTGCTCAGCATTTCCACATCCACCTCCAGCAGCATTCTGGGCAACCACTGGTAGGATATTTTTCATTTAAGAGATGATTTTTAAGTCGTGTGTGTGTGTGTGTGTGTGTGTGTGTGTGTGTGTGTGTGTGTGTACTTACATGTGTGCACACATCTAAGTGCAGTGCCCACGGAGGCCAGCAGAGGGTGTTAGATACTCCGGAGGTGGGGTCACAGGCAATTCATGTCTCTAACCTCTGAGCCACCTCTCCAGCTTTTCTTTCTTTCTTTCTTTCTTTCTTTCTTTCTTTCTTTCTTTCTTTCTTTCTTTCTTTCTTTCTTTCTTTCTTTC